ATATTGTAATTTAAAAAATGTATAACTGATATTGTGTAACAGGAAGAAAAGTCTAAAAGAGCAGGGGAATTGGGAAGGGTAGGGGAAGGGAAAAAAGGGAAAGGAAAAAATATGAGAAGAAGAAAAGAAATGGAAACAAGGTCTTTGCAAATAGGGAAGGGTGGAGGGGGTGAAGGGAGGGCAAGGGAAGGGGAAAAAAAAGAAAAAAAACCTTATGGCACGGGAATAAATTAGGCATAAAATAAATGCAAATAAAAGTAATGCTGCTTGTCAACAGAAAAAAAAACAACGTGAGGGTTGAGGTGTAGTGGTAGAGCACTTGCACAAGGCCCTGTGTTCCATCTCCAGTACCAGCAAAAGATTAAACTAATTAATAATTTTTAAAAAATGGATCTTAAAGATTTGGAGTAGTGGTACCGAGAGTCTGAACCCAAGGCCTTCACACTGAGCTACATCTCCACACATTTTAAATTTTTTTATTTTGAGACCGGCTCTCAGATAACCAGGCTGGGACTGAATCTGTAATCCTCCTGCCTCAGCCTCCTAGAGTGCTGAGATTACAGGCAAGCACCATCATCCCCTGGCTTCAAGGATGGTTTAACATCAGAAAATCTATTAATGTAAAATAATAAATTAACTGATTATAGAAACTGTGTAACTGCAACAAACACAAAACATATAGCCCCTAATAAAAATATAGCCAGAGGGCTGGGGATTTAGTTCAGTGGTTCCGCCACCTGCCCTGCAAGCTCGAGGACCTGAGTTTGATCACTGGTACTAAAAAAAAAACAAACAATACAGCCAGCGGGGCCCAGGATTTAGTTCAGTGGTACTGTGCCTGCCTTTTGAGCACAAGGTCCTGAGTTCGATCCTTGGTACTGCAAAAAAAAGAAAAAATACAGCCAGCGTAGTGGCACATGCTTATAATCCCAGCACTTGGGAGGCTGAGGCAGGAGGATTGCTGTGAGTTCAAGGCCAACCTGAACTACACAGTGAGACCCTGTTTAAAAAAAAAAAAGTAATGTAAATTAGCACAGAAGGGTAAATTACTTAACTTCATAAAGATATATTCTAAAATCCTACAGAAAGGATTAATTTAATGCTAACAGATGAAGATCACTGTCTTAAGTTGAGAAAGTAAGAATGCTCACCATCACACTTCTGATCAATACTGTACTGGAGACTTTGGCAAAAGTTAACAGCACTAAAAAATAAATGTCAAAGATCTGAAAGAAGAAACAAGAGGGGAGTGATGGTACATTCCTATAATCCTAGCACTATGGGAGGCAGAGGTCAGAGGAACACAAGAGTTCAGTCCTAGCCTGGGCAACCTAGTGTGACTCTGTCTCAAAAAAAAAAGGTGAACTGTGCATCTGGGCTTCTTCAGAGGGTCTCCTGTGGATGTAGGAACATGGTGCCCTGCTCTCACAGCAATCTCTTCTGTTGGCAAGTAGCAGCCGAATGGAATGAACCAGACTGTGAGGAATGCAGGGATGTTGGGAGTGCTGCTTGGATGCTTATTTCTGCCAGGGGTGGAGGGTAGGATACAAAGCCCAGGAAGATTCGTCAATGGTTACCATGACATCTCCTTGGAAGCCACACCTCAAATCCTGTTGTGAAGGCAAAGGCAGCCCAGGACTCGGGGTGTTCCATCTTCTGAGACACCCTGTCCAGGAGAGCTCACATAACTTACTGGAACCTGACAGGGTTTTTTGCACCAAGCACCCATCAGGACTTGCTGCCAGCGTGTAATAGTGCAGCCCGATGGGGGCCTGTTACCTGGCATGCCAGAGGTTTCTGCTCTTTCTTGCATTATGTAAAGTCAATTTTCATCTGGTTGGTGATTAATTCACTGAATTCAGGCAGAGACATCTGACAACTCGAAAAATAAGGAGACAGGTACTAAATGTAAATATGCATAATTCGCTAAAATACTTTCAAAGAAACATCTATCTTTGGTCTCAATGAAAACTGCTTTTTCTGATTTTCTACTGGCATAAGTTTTCATTCAGAAGAAGCCATCACAGACACTGAAGTTCACTCATCCACAGTCAAATTCCACTTACTTCTTTTCATAGTAGCTAAAAGGTCTAGACTTTTATCCAGCCTTTTTTTTTTTTTTTTTTGAGACAGGGACTTGCTATGTATTTCAGGCTGGCCTTGAACTCACTAAGTAGCTCAGGCTGATCTTGAACCCAAAGCAATCCTCCTGTCTCAGCCTCCCTGTGTGCCACCACTCCTGGCTTATCCAGCTATTGATATTTAGCCTTCACAGAAGATCTGCACAGTAGTGGGACGAAGTAAGTCCTTATGGATCTGGCAATGACTATTAGACGAAGCAGGTGAAGTTCAGATCTTCATGGGCCTCAGTTGATGAGCATAGGCGGCCGAGAACCTCCCAGGACAGGTCCTCACCCTTGTGTCCTCACCCTTTTAGTCCCCAAGCTGAAGAGGGCACAGACCTCCAGGCTGAAGGTGTCGATTTCCCTTTGTCTGTGTCAGAGGCCTTTGGATCTTGTTAAGCTGACAACCTGCCCACCATGGTCCTCTCAGGGACTGAGTGTCTTGGCCTAGGGATAGCTGCATTGTCAAGGACAGAGTGTGGTGTGCACAGCTGCGAGAGATTATGGCCTTCTGTGCAGTGCTATAGTCAATGAGGTTGTGACAGAAGGTGGACTTGCAGTTTAGGGCAGGAAGAGCATTGTGGTTTTCTTTTCAAATTATATTATCAAAGGGCCGGGGATTTAGCTCAGTGACGCCTTGCCTACCTCAAAAGTGCAAGGTTTTGAGTTCAATTCCCAGTACCAAAAAAAAAAAAGCAAACCAAATTATGTTGTCAAAATATATTAGCTAGTTTTTCTTCCTCTTCCTCCACTCTCCATAACCTACCACTGAAACAAAGCCAGAACCTTCTAGGAAGCCTCTGGTTAAGCTTCTGCCTTTGCTTTTATAATAATTTTTCAAAGATGTTGAATTTCTTGGTTCCGGGTTTTCAAAGCCTTGGTATACATTACCAGTTTTTTTCTCTTGGCAAGAACCTTCTTAATGTCAGCTCCAAATTTTCCCAACATATTCTGTATTTAACCCTCACCCCATGTCTTATGGTTATTTCTGCAGGAGTACATACTTTTCTTCCCATGCTTATCAATTACTGAAGTCTTTCTTTTGAGTATATCATCCTCTGAACTGCTCAATCTTTATCTTCTTTTTCAAAGTCACATGCTTTTATAAGCTGTGTTCTATGGATGGTTTCACAGATTTCTCAGAAGGCTTTCTACCAGAGGGCAACATACTTAGATATTCACTGACAGGTCTACTTTTCTGACGCTATGACTTCCCTATTCTTTATTTTTTGACATTATCTGGATTTTACATAAGAGATTGTGTCAAATGTGTGTGCTGTACTTATGTCCTGTTGGATTGAAAGGCTGATTGGACCCTCCAGCAGACATTTTTTCTGGTCCTCTGTTTGCTCTATGACTCAGGACCCTAGCCAAAGCAACTTGGCTTCACCTAGTCACCTAATCATATGTGAACTAGTGTTTGTCCTATTAAATTTTTATTTTTAAAATAGACTGCATGATTGAATATTTGCCTGCTGCCTTTGATATCCTGCTTTTGTTTTGTTTTTCCTTGAATGTCTTTTTTTGGGGGGGGGGGTACTGGGGATCAAACTCAGGACCTTGTGCTTGCAAGGCAGGAGAAGGAACCACTGAGCTAAATCCCCTGCCTATTCCTTGAATGTCTTTAGCCAGCCAGCTCTTGACTTTTTCTGACCAACTCCCATTTTGTTGCCTAAGAAGTGAGTTTGGTGATCTGGTCTGGGATTTTATAAAATAAATGTGTCCTTTGAATAAAATTTGTTTGCTGGAGCCAAAACAAAATTAAAAAAAAAAAAACAACATTAAAAAAATGAAAAGTCTGAGGCAATGGAAAGGCTATGGGTTCAATCCCCTGTATTCCCCCAAAAAAGAAAAGACAGAAAGAAAACTATCTAAATAAAAAATCTAGGACAATCTACAACTAATCAACTAATAAGGAAGTTCAGAAATATCATAAAATTGATATGGAAGAGAAAAATGCTAAGAACAGACAACACAGTATCAAGATCAAGGAATAGGGCCGGGGACTTAGCTCAGTGGTTCCGCCACCTGCCTCGCAAGTGTAAAGCCCCAAGTTCAATCCCCAGTACAAAAAAAAAAAAAGGACAAGGAATAGATAAGTCACAATAGCAGCTATCAAGATATATCACAAAGCTACTGAGACAGGATTGACAGAGTCAGAATGTGTGAAACCGGGGTCTGTGATGTATTGGTGGGAAGGGAGGGATTGATCCCCAAGAACAAACTGAGATCATTACCTGAACTGGACTTACACTAGTGGCTCTCTGTAGTTGCCAAGGCTGAATACATCCTTCACTTCATCACAGAAGACAGGGAAGAGGCAGGGCATCCTGTCCTTTGTTGGGCAGGGTCCCAAAATTCAGAGACCTCAATTTGGCATTTGGGTGTGTTGGTAGAGGGACAGAGAAAGACCCATAACACCAAAGACTGGGCAAGAGGAACTGTCTAGTAATGCAGAAAAGGCAAGGAGAAAGAAGGACCCACAAAGAGCCAGACAGGCTACAGTGTGGCAAGTTCTTGGGTCACTACTGCCATTTAACTCCCTAATACCAACAAAGCAGGTAGCGCAGGAATTATGGTCTTTACCACAGGAAAGAGAACCAGCAGCTCAGAGGCCAGCTGTAGGCCCTGATGGTAGCCAAGATGCAGACTGCAGGGGACCTACTTCTTTTACACAGAAATGAGGACTTCTCATAGCAGCTCTCGGCGTGCCAGCTGTGGAGGTCATGGTGCCGCAGCGTCGGGAAGTGGAAGCACTGCAGCTGGGCGCAGAACACATTGTCGTTCTCAGACATGGCCGATGCAAAGATGGGGTCTGGGGGCAGTAACACCTTCGAGGAGCCTGTTGGAGGAGACAGAAGTTGAGGATGGTCAGATGCCCATGCATAGTGCTCAAGGGACCATGGTGTCAATAAGACCATCAACCAAAGAGCTTACAGCCTGTGAGTACTGGAGTCAGCTCCAGGCATCAGGCCTGTCAGGGCCCTGACAAACACATGAACAAATATCACCCAAAGAAGATAGTGCTGCATGGTGATTCACCGGACATCCTTAAAGTTAGAACAGCATGAGTAATGAAGCAATGGATGGTAACACACTGGAATAAAACATAGAAACTCATACTGATATATCAAATGAATAAACAAATGGGGAAATGTGTAGGGGAAGTTCTCTTCAACAGAAAACCCGGTAAGCAAAAGAGCACTCAGAAAAAGTCTCTGCACTGCACCTGTAAGCCACATGCTATTCTGGGGATTGTCAGCTTCAGTCCCACACTGGCATCCCTGGCACCTGGACACAGTGTACACCTGGAAAGCACTGGTTCTCTGGAGCCCTCAACCAGCTCAGGGGAAACTGCCACTCTCCCAGCTGCTTCCCTCCAAACTGAGAAAAGGCAATCAAAAACCATAATACTCTCCCTGCTAAGGATGGGAACTTGAAACGTGTTAGGGGAGGGGCTATTAACCTCCAACTTCTCTCCTGTCCCAGGAAGAAGGTGGTACAGCCAGTCTCCAGGGCCCATCCTATTTTGTACACAACCCTCCAAGGACGGGTCACCACCAAGAAATTCCTTTGCCAATATGGATCACTGAAAAAACAAAAGCAATCTTTCCTGAAAGCATAATACCAGCACCTCAAGCTCTAGTTCCCTAGGATAGTAATATACTATGCCCCTTTCACACGACACCAGGCATTCCCACCCATACTTTCTAGAAGTGTTTCCTCCCAGCACTAATATGAATATTGGTTTGAAAAAGCACACCTCAAGGCAGCCTTGTGCTCTGGCACATGGACATGTGCCTCCCTGGCAAGGGTGGGAGGTCTGGCTTTCAGGAAGCACTGAAATAGCTGCATTGCCTTTTTAGGGACAGCCAGGCTCCAGTGTCCTGCCTGCTGCAAATGTGTGCAACAGACTGGCAGGAGGGCAGGGGACTACCCCAGCTCCCTAAAGATATCCTTATACATCATCTGGAGGGTTCATTCCCACTGCTTAGAGTAGGAGCTGCCACCAGCACAATGTACCCTGCCACAGACCCTTCTTCCAGCCTCCCTGCTTCCTGAAGAGGCTCCTGCTGCACTTGGGGAGCTCCTCTCCTTTAAAACACTGTCTTTCTTCCTTATTTGGTCTTTTTTAAATTTGTTGTTCGAGGTTAATGCTGTTCTTTTAATTTTTTTTTTGTACCAGGGATCAAACTCAGGATCTTGAGCTTGTGAGGCAGGAGCTAGAACCACTCAGCTAAATTCCCAGCCCCTGTTCTTTTAATTTTTATTAGTACATGTTTGCAGTACGTAGTGATCACATTCATGGCAGGTGGTCGGTAGGTGTACATAACACACCTGAGCTCTCTTTTGTTTTTTTTTGGTACCGATCGAACTCGGGACCTTGTGCAAGGCAGGTGCTGGAACCACTGAGCTAAATCCCCGGCCCACCTGAGCTCTCTTTATGTCCCCTTTGTGTCTCAGTCCCCTTCCCTTTGATTCTGGAAGGTTAATGTTTCTAGAGGAAGAGCAAACCCATGGGCCAAAATGATGGTGGGAAGTGAGTGTCCCCTTGGGAAGTGTGAACTTCTTGCAGGATCTCATTTCTATGGCAAGGAAAATTTGGTATATTCATTTTTCTTTTTTTTGTACCAGGGATAGAACTCAGGACCTTCTGCTTGCAAGGCAGGTGTGGTGCCACTGAGATAAATCCAAAGACCTAGTGTATTCAGAGATTGGTCTCTTATCTCATGGGTTGAAAAATGAACAAGCTCCTCCTCACCTTTCAAAAGCAAGTCCTCAAGGCTGAGTCTGGTTGCCAGCCCCAGAGCTCCTGGGCACAACTGTGATACACAACACCAGTGCTCAAACCAAGGGCACAAATGGCCCTCACGGCAGAGTCCTATGACCTGGGCCCACCACCAAAAACTGCCTGGATGGAGGCAGAGGCAAATGGTAGGGTGGCTCAGGCTATCAACCAAGCTAGGTTTCAGCAAGACTCCAGGCCAAGGCCCCACTGAGTCACCAGCAGATGCTGTGTCCTGCCAGCCAAAAGCCGTGCCAACATGTGTACAGTACATATGCCCATGGAAGCTGAAGATTAGTCCATGGTGCTGACTGTGGGCTGGTCATAGGCACCTCCTGTCCACCCCAAGTGCTGGATGGCAGAGAGAAGCAGATGTTCATGCCAAGGTTTGCGCAACTGAGGTAGGTACTAATGAGTTGCTCCCAGGTTTCCAGACAACAGCCAATGCCTGAGCTGGGGGCAAGCCCCAAGACCCTGGGAAGAAGCACCCCAGCAAGGGCTCACAGTAGAAGCAAAGACCGATTTGGGTCAATTATGGGGCTGGAGTAGAGGGCACAGTGGTGGGGGTTGCAGGCAGAGAGGGAAGGGGCTGCTGCTGGCTTTAGTGAGAACTGTGACTGTAAGAAACAAAACCATGAGGAGCATGAGCCCAGGAGAAAAGGGCCCTCTGGTAGATGTGTAAAGGAGAGACAGTGGGAGAAGGTGGACTGGCCAGAGGTCACTGTGGTAATTAGGTGAGTGAAAATCAAGGTATCAGGTCTGGGCGAGGGCTTTAAGACTGGTAAGAAATGATGAGATCCTGATGTACCTGAAAGGATATGAGAGGAGCCAAGGACTCCTGAGCTCCACTAGAAATAACTCCCACACATTTTCCCTCCAGGGCCTGCTTCCTGGATGTACACCAACCACCCTACTCTTCCTGAAGGACCCTGATCTGCTTGGAGAAAGGATCCCAAGCAAAGCACTCCTTGAGCTGAAACTGGGAGCCACTGTAGCAATGATCCACCCTTCCAACCTTCCCTCCAGGACCACCCTACTACTACCCACTCCCACAATAGGAGATTCAGCCTTTGGCACTCCAAGGTGGTGGCAATTTCTAGACTGCCCCCATGCTGTCTGCATGTGAGGTGTGCAGTTCTTCAGGCCAGCATACAAGGCCCTCTAAATGCTCCCTAACTGCTTCTGCTGCCAAGCCTCCACTGTTCCTGCTGCAAAGGGTTCTTCACTTGCTATTCTCATGGTGAATGCCTCTCCAAGAACTTTCCCTTCCTGTCTTACTACCTCAGCACCCACAGAACCATCCTGCACAGACCCAAAGGGCTGTCTGGGCCCCCATAGAGGCCTCAGGATGGAGGCAGCTGCCCCACTGGGCAGTCTGTGGTCACCTTGTCCAGAAAGCAGGGTCTCTGCACTGTGCCTTCCAGCAGCTGCTAGATCGGTCTTGTCCCTCCCTCCCTGCTGACCAAGGATTCTAGATACAGGTCCACGACCAACTCTCTGTCTGCTGACCTCACTGTCAGGACCTTACAACAGTCACACCCTTTCCTATATAGCCCCAGGACAGAGAAGAAGACCACAAAGGACCAGTCACATCTTAAAAGATGGCTGAAAGAGAATGAGGCTCCTTCTAAGTTAAGCACCTCTTGATCTCAGTCCATCTGTGAAATGACTGAGCCCCAGGATATGTGCAGGTTTGGAGATACGGTGGGGTACACCTGGGGCAAAAGCACCAACAATCTTAAATTCACAAAATATGTGGACACATTACACAATGTTTCCACTTCAATGCCTTAAAAATTAACATCAAGTGGTCTGGGGATTTAGCTCAGTGGTTCTGCCGCCTGCCTCGAAAGCACAAGGTCCCGCGTTCGATCCCCAGTACAAAAAAAAAAAATTAACATCAAGTATGAACAACCAGAAACTGAAGTGCACTGCTAGGGATATGGATGGGGGCCCTAGTGCTGGCGTGGGAAAACGTGGGGGATTCTAACAGGGATCCACATTTTTTCACACTTTCCATAGAAGTTAGCCCCATATCTGCTGGTAGCACAGCTTTCAATCTCCAGGGCACACCAAAGCCTGGTGTGCCAAACCTATAGTGCCTCAGCAGCCCTGAACAGGTGCATGGGCTTATGGAGACATGAGCTGGAAGCAGCAGAGCCAGCCTCCTGGGGAGTTGTTGGGGAATTCACCACCCAAGGCCTTCAGGAGTCTAAGGGGAATGAATGAGCTCCAAACCTAAATGTACAAGGGGGTACAATATAGACCTATTGTAAACATGCATGTGTATAATACGCATGCACCACTGTGCCATTATAGAACACGCTACCAAAAACACAAATTGTACAAGATGTAGATGAAATAAACATTTTAAAACATCTTATTGTAAGGCCTTCCCATCATAATATTCTTAGGCACAGTACATTCTTGGAGAGGGGTTCATCATTAAAAACAAAATTTAAGTATACTGTGTCCTGAATATGACAGACCCCAAAACCCTCCTCTGCTTTGCATCATGGCAAAGAGCTCCTTTGAGGACCAGGAAGGGGCTCTATGCCCGTTTGTTTGTATTTTTAGTCTTCTTTTCACTCTACAGTTTCTTAGCAGAAAACTTAAAATGATGTGGAAATTTAAAAAATATACAAAAGTAGAAAGAAGATGCAACCCTGTGTAGCTTCAATGCTGAGCTGCATCCTGCTGTTTGGTTTATCCCCCACTGTGTGCACTCCTCCCCGAGCACACTGTGGCATCTGACACTTGAAAATCAGGACATGTCCCCTAAAATAACACAACCACAATGCTACTACACAACTAAGAAAATGAACAGTCAATATCCATTCTAAGTCTACACTTTCCTTAATTTTAGCTGCCTGAGAGTTTTTATAATTACCTCTTGTAACTCTTGTAATTCAGAGAACCATTAAAAAGAAAAAAACAAACAAACTAACTTGCTTTTGGTTTTATGATTAATTCCTTAGACTTCAGAACAACTCATGATATTGAGCTATGTCAAGTGGGCCACTTCACTGGGTAGCAGAAGAATCTTTTTTTAACCATGTGTACGTTTTGTGACCACCACTACTTAAATCCACTAACAAAATCTCCAAATCCACAGACAACAGAGCACAGCTCCCATGCAGAGCTGCTGAATGCTCAGGGCACCCTGCAGGAGCATTCCTTCTTGCCCAGGGGCTTTTGCTAAATTGTAGATTCACTCTTCTCATGTCCCACAGTGCCACTAAAACAAGCATGGTCAGTAGAGCCCACCTGGGCCCAATGAAGACATCTCATGCAAGAGTTGAGGGTCTGAGCCCACAGCTCAGATACGCTGTCATGCCACACAGATGGATGTCTCTTCTCTTTCTTTCTCTCATCCTCTATCTCCTCTCTCTTTCTCCAGAGGTACTGGGGATTAAAACCTAGGCCTTCCTACTGAGCTAAATCCCCAGCCCATTTATTTTTTATAAGGTCCCCCTAAACTGCCTAGGCTGAGCTTGAACTTGCAATCCTCCTGCCTTAGGGCCCCCAGAGTGCTGGGATTACAGGCATGCCTCAGCATGCCTCGCTTGGATGTCTCCTTTTTAACTATCAGTATCCAGAAGACAACCATACTCATAAGTGTTGACACTGTTCTAAGCTAGCCTGGACTATAGAGTTGCAAAGATTCACACCCAACAATGTGTGATGACAGCAAGTGAAAAACAATCCTTTATAAGACACATTGTGACAGTGGGGCCCAGAGAATCAAAAACCATCTATTTGACAGCTAATCCTGAGGGAAATCTATACAACATACATACAAAGTCTGAGAATGCAAATGTAGGTGGCAATTTCAGTAAGGAACTGAGAGGGTAAAGAACAGTGGCTCAGTGGCACCGTGCACGCCTGGCAAGCACAAGGTCCCTAGTTTAATTTCCGGTACTGGAAAAGAAAAAAAAAGAATGGAGCTGGATGTGATGGCACTTGCTTATAATCCCAGCAGTCAGGAGGCTAAGGCAGGAGGATTACTGTGAATTTGAGGCCAGCCTGGGCTACACAGTGAGTTCAAGGTCAGCCTGGACTACACAGTGAGACCCTGTCTCAAACAAACAAAAAGAATAGAATGATCCTCTCTGTAGGAGTGGGGACTGGTGGGCATGGCCTTCTCTGCTGGGCTCTACAGAACCCACCTCTGCTCACTCCCCGGCCCAGCTGCTAGGTGTGGCCCTGCTTCTATAGAGCCCTGGCTCTCTCCAGGAAGCTGGTTGCCTATTGTCCTAAACTCTCTAAACCTGTTCCCAGGCCCAAAACTCCGACTGGTCTTTATCAGAGACACTGAAGATATTAGTTGTGTGGCTAGGATGTGTTTAGGGAATGGGGACCCAGATCTAAGCTCAAACCAGAGGTCCAAGGAGCAGCCCAAATAGCGAGGCCTGATGATGGAAAGGGTGGGACAATGTGGCAAGCAGAGTGCACAGTAGGGGCACCTGGGCCAAAGTTGCTATTATCAGGGTATTAGGACAGGAGGGAAGGGACAGGCCAGGACCTTAGCTGCCCACAAAAGCTGTTTCCTTTCCATTTCTCAGTATTTCCAAGCAACTCAGCATAAAATCTTTGAATCAACACACACGCACAATCTGCCTGTTCCTTCAACTTTTGGACAGTAACCCTAAACTTCCCTGCCCTAGAAAGTTTCTCCTTCCTTCTCTGGCCCACGCTGTGTGTTCATTTGTATGCCCCCACAGTCTTTACCTTTAAATATAATCTTTACTCTTTTTATCAGGAGCTGGACATCAAACTCCAGATCTTTACTTTCTAAGCAAGTGCTCTATCATTGAGCTATGCTCCAAATGTCTCCCTTTTTAAAAACAATTACTTTTTAAACTGATACATAAAACTGTACATATCTGTGATGTTTTAATATATGTATACAAAGTGTTATATTTAAATCAATCTCTTTAAACATTTATCATTTCTTGGCGAAGACAAAATTCTTCTCTGTTGGAAATGTATGGCACAGTACATACTGTTTATAGAGCCACTCACTGTGCCATAGCACACCAGAGCTCTTTACTCCTATTTTTTGTTTTGTTTCGTTTTTGCAGTACTGGGGATCGAACTCAGGACCTGGTGCTTTCAAGGCAGGCATGGCACCACTGAGCTAAATCCCGGCCCTCTTACTCTTATTTAACTATAACTTAGTACCCACTTATCAATCTTCCCCCAACACTCCTTCCCTCACTCTCCCTAGGTAGAGTCGCTAACTTTAAAGGGAAGATGGGGAGTCTAGAAATCTGGCCACATCAAGAACAGTGAGTTCCAGAGAAGGCCCCTCCACAAGGGACTGAATGTTGTGTACGATGGCTGTGCACTTGGCGCCACCTCCTCTCTATATTCCCTGTATCAGGTGGCCCTAGAAGCCAAGCTCCACTGGAAGAGGGGAGGGGAGACCCCAGAAATATTCTGAGTCATGACAACTTCTCCCAATTTGAAATTTAACAACCAGAGAAACTTACCTTTGAATGCCACCTCCCAGTGACCCTCTAAGGAACGATTCCGGCCAGTGACAACATACTGATAGCCAACCCACAGCCTGCAGGGGTCAGAAACAGAGATCATGTCACCAGAAGGAAGCAACCATCAATGACTTTGCAGGTGTATATATGTATGTATGTATGTATTTATGCAATGCTGAGGATTGAATCCAGGGCCTTGTGCATGCTAGGCAAATGCACTACCACTGACCATTTGTTTTAATAATAATACTGACTTCTAAAACACGGAACTACAACATAAGCGATTTATGTTTTAATACTTAATTTTAACAAAATGCATTAAAGTTCTAAAAATAAATTTGTAGGTCATAAAAGGTGACCCCTCATGGGGCTCCAACCAAGCTCATTCTTACCAGCTGATCCAATAAAGCTTTCACATTTGAAGCCAGATTAATCTTATTCCTGGTGGAAATAAAGCTCCAGAAATACACACTGTGGGTATTAAATCCATAAACCAATATGTTCTGAAGTATTATGGCATGTGAGTTACATCTCAATAAAGAAACACAGCCCTGCGAACATATGTACTGTGAAACTGGATACAGACATGTGCACAGCTTCCCTCAGAGCCTGTCTTGCCTAAGGTGTGTACCCAGGGGCACCTAGTCCAGCACCAAAGAGACCTTCCACAGAGACCTAGCCAACTGCTACAAGCAACTGCCAAATTTGTGCCCCCTGCCTCAGATCCCCAGCCCCAGTACTAGAGATGTCCATCAGCTCATGCATCTGCCATGGCGGTAGCCTTAGAGCTTGCTGCTCTCCTGAGGTGGGGCTGAGGTGTACGCATATTGCTGCCCGGGGAGATGCTTTCCCCACCCTCCAGCTGATGCCCTTTTCTCTTTTGCTGGGCTCCCAGGCATTTCCTTTGTGGGGGTAGTAAGAGTGAAGTTATTTCTTGTCTCTACAAAAAGGACAGCTTAGTCTTATGATTTGCCAGTGTCATATGGAACATAATTATGGAGCTGAAACCCACCTCCAGTATTAAAATGAAAGCCCTGTGTCCACCTATATCAGGTCATCATGCCCTGATGGCGGCATGGCACCTGTGCCATCATGAAGAGCAGATGACCCACATGGAGCACCAGCCATCTTTGGGACTCTATGTTCCCCTCCAGAAAAGGCTGCCCTTTTTTTGTTGAGACAAGGTCTCACTGTGTAGTTCAGGTTGAACTTAAACTCACTATGTAGCCCAGGCTACTCATGGCAATCCTCCTGTTTCAGCCTCCCAAGTGCTGGGATTATAGGCTTGCGCCACTATGCCCAGCCAAGACTGCCATTTTCTATTTCATACCCCTAACAGTGTGGATTGGATAGTGTGATATAACCAGAGGCAGCACATCACAGGTCTCTGCACATACCTGTTCCCAAACAAAAACTCCTCAGATATAGGGCCTAAGAAATATGTGATCAGTTGCCATTTATACACTTCTTTGACACGCAGAGCCAGCAGGTCAGTAGGCAAATTTGGGGCAGGCTGCCCAGGCCAAATCCTAGTATGTGCCTAGTGGTGTATATTCATAGTCACTTGTGTCCGGCACACAAGTTTTAGGAGGACTGGGTGAGCAGGCTCACAGAAAGCACTGAGCATGGAGCTGGCAGGGTCTCTTTCTCACAAGGAATCCCTGTCTAGCTGTGCACCCCTCACACCAGGCCCATGAAGCCCCACAACAAGCAGCTCCTGGGGACACAGGCTAGCACATCCTGGCTACACTCATCAACTGCCATGTGCCCACAGTGGGGAGCAATTTCCGAAGTCCCACAAGGCAGCGACAGGGCCCACCTGCTCCTTCCCCCATCACAAGCTCCCAGCTCCATCTCAATGCACATAGTAAGTCCCTGGCTCTCCTTCTGCTTCTAGTAGGGCAAGGATCTGCTTTACCCAATGCTGGCTGGCACCTATGCCTTGCTTAGGGGTGGCCATGGCCTCAGCAGTCATCAGACCCTTACCCCCACAACTCACTTGCGCTGGTCCTTCCAACCAAATGGGACCACTTCGGGCTGATCCCATTCCTGGGCCAGGACAAAGCGCAGCTCCTCCTCGGTAGAGAAAGTGGCGAGGGAGCCGTTCACACGCTGGCAGGTCTGTGCAGCGTCCCAGTAGTTCTCCCCACTCAGGTACACCCGGTAGCAGCTGGCTGTGCCTTCATAGTGGTGCCATCCTGTCGGGCACTTCCCTAGGAAACATAAAGGATGGAAGGGGAGATGTCCCCCAAGTTAGGATCTGAACTCCAAAACCAAAATTCTATGTGCTGCATAGGGCACAGGCATACCTCAGAAATCACCAGGGTGCTGGGCATTGTAGTACTTTTTTGTTGTTGTTGTTTGGTACCAGGGATCAAACTCGGGTCCTTGTGCTTGCACAGCAGGCGGCAAAACCACTGAGCTAAATCCCTGGCCCAATTGTAGTACTTTTAAGCTGAGGTAGGAGGATCACAAGTTTGAGATCAGCCTGGGCTACATAGTGAGACCCTGTCTCAAAGAAACCAAAACAGAAATCATCTCAGAGACACAAAAACTGAAACTCAAAAGAACATGCACCTGGGCCAGGGATTTAGCACAGTGGCACTGCACCTGCCTTGCAGGTACAAGGTCCTGAGTTTAATCCCTGGTACCATTTTTAAAAAAAAGAACAAGCTCCTGCTTCTCAGATCACACACACTTTGTACAATTAAGTTTTCTCTAAAATCCAAATTTAATCTATGATATAAGTATATTTAGTGATTTCTCCCATCTCTAAAAGGCCTTTTAATTTTTGCAGTTGTCAAGAGTAGCTTAGCTGCTGAATGAATTTCTGTAGGACAGATCTCATTCTCTGATTCTAGTCTGTTAATAAGATAATGGGCTGTGAGACTCTGGTGGAGGCGAACAAGGAGAATCTCTGATGCCTAGTTGTCCCAGCTTCTGCTGCCAGCAAAGCCACTGGTTCCTGAGCCAAGTCCCGGTCCGTCTTTTGTTTACATGGATGCTGCCCAGCTCTCCTCTAAAAAAGCAGCTCCATAGAGCACACCTCAGAGGACTAACTATGAAGTTGTGGGACCAAGTTTGGCCTTCCGCAGATAAGAAAAGGATGCCTAGGCACTGCCACAGCTCATAAACCCAAGAAACCGGTCAAGAGTCCTGCCTCCCTGAAACCAACCAGTATCTTCTTACTTCATCAACCTGTCAATCTGCCCCTCAAGCATGGAAAGGCCTGGCACTTTAAAACTTACTCAAAATGCTTTATAGAATCTATAATCTTCAAATGTTAAACAGTTTTGTTTGTTTTTTGGTTTTTTTCTTGGTACGGGGGATCAAACTCGGGACCTTGTGCTTGTGAGACAGGCACTGGAACCACTGAGCTAAATCCCCAGCCCTAAAGAGTATTTTTTACCAGTACAATGAAGTGTAGCAATTTCGAAAACTCCATTGTAAAATTACATTTATGATGGAATTCTTCTCTTTTGGTTCTGAATTCATGTCTTGCATGGGTTAAGCAGGTGCTCTAGCCATCAAGCTACACTTCCAGCCCAAGAGTAACAATTTTTATTGAAGCTAAATATTATAGGAAGGAAGTGATATGTTTCGCCTCTAACCCACTGAGACATGGCAACAGCACTGTTTGCAAGGGCAGAAAGCTGGACAGCATGACCTCCCCATTGTTGGGGTCTGGGTTAGTATATCTTAGAGCAAAGGAACAAACAAGGAGCCTGAGCACACTCCCAGCAAGCAGCTCCACTATCTCCACGTCACAGGCCAGGACACCAAGGCATGGAGATGTGGAGAAGCTCAGGAGCCAGGAGCAGAAGGACCAGCCAGGCTTCCCTCCCAGAGATGGGGTCAAGAGCACACTCTGAGGAGGAAAAACAACTGGCTAGGGCAATGGAGGGAGGAAGGGTTCCTTTTTTAGAAAAGACTCATCTTTCTTATATACTGAATTTTGCAGAATTATAGGAAGTCACTGAAAATTACAGTGAATATTTAAATTTTTAAAAATTTATTACAGCAAAAGACACATTGCCATTAATCCTCAAGATACTCCCCCTTGCCACCACTTATTCTATCTTGCCACTTTCTGAAGCAGTTCTAGAAGTCTTCTTTCATGAATGTCTTTACAAGGTGTGATAAAAAGATACAGTGAATGCAGCTGTCAAGTGCCATCCAACGAAAAGACTGACTTGTAAAAACATCATGGGCCAGGGATTTAGCTCAGTGGTTCCACCGCCTGCCTTGCAAGTGCAATGCATGGTACCAAAAAAACCCACCAAAAACCAAAAACCAAACAAACATTATGATGTGTCTTCATCCACCTTACTCACCTGATCTGGGACCATTCAACTTCTAGCTCTTCCTCAAAGTCAAAATGACCACGAAAAATAAACATTTTGAATTGATCCAGGACATCAAAATAGCCACAATAGCTCAATTAAAGATAAAAAAAAAGAACTAGAACTTCTAAAAATGGCAAGATCAAAAGGATAAGTATAGGGCCAGGGATTCAGTGGTGCCGCTGCGTGCCTCACAAGTGCAAGGTCCTCAGTTCGATCCCCCAATACCCCCCCCAAAAGGGGGGGTAAGTATAGTCAAAGTGAGAGTCACCAGGAGGGTCACGCCTTATTACCTAGGGGGAAGTACTACCTGCTCAAAAGAAAGTCTAAGGACTAGAAGAGCATGAAGCTAAGCAAGAGGATCCCATGGGGCTGCATCCTGGAAGTTCCCCTTCAGCTGTGTGACCCTGAACAAGCTGACCCTTCAGAATCTCCATTTGCTCTCATGCCAAGTGTGTGTAACACCTGTGAACCATAAGAATCCCTGAGGGGTTCACTGCTACTGTGTGAATAAACTGGGGAGAGTGTTAGGGCTTAGAGGATGGCTGGTCCACTGCTTCCTCAGTCCTCATCAGAGAACTTCATCAGAGACTTCAGCCACATGTGAGGCTCTGAAAGTCACTGGAGGCCCTGCAGGACAGGTGACCTCCCAAGGTTTCCTCATCACCAACAGTGGGCTTGGGCAAAGCCAGTGCAGTTCGGGGTCACAGCCCCTGTCTCAGGTCTGTTGGCAGTCATCACAGACTGGTACTGTGAGGTGTCACTAAAGCACTCCCTAGTGCTGAGTGTGAACAGCAAACAGACCCTATGCTCTGCAGCAGGCACATCAAGTGTTACTTCTTCCTGCCCTGGCTGCAGCTGCTCATCATACCTAATGCAAAATCACCTGAGCATGTCTATGGGACAGGGTCCTTCAGCTATGGCTTTCCTTGTCCCAACCTTCCTTCACATTACGTTTAAGTACATGATGTTATGGGTATGTATATGTATGTGTGTGTACGTATGTGTGTGTTTGTGTATGTATATGTATATATATATATATGTCATACTACTCAGGGTAGAAGGGCCAGACACAGGACATGGCAGCAGAGTCCATGTAGAGCTTTTCCTTGGAATTCCAGAATAAACATTGCCATACATTTCAAACAGGTCAAGTGTGCTTGCTAGAATTACATCTTGGCAGTCTTCGTTCTTATATTGCTATTATGAAAAGGGGCTTCAAATGCCCATCAACTAGTGAGTGATTAGATAAAGATGTGGGGTTTTTATAATTAAAATGGAGTACTACTCAGCCATAAAGAAAGGTAAACTATGGTGGGCCAGGGATTTAGCTAAGTGGTTTTGCCGCCTGCTGCGCAAGCGTAAGGCCCCGAGTTCGATCCCCAGTACCAAAAAAAAAAAAAAAAGAAAGGTAAACTAGAGATGTTTACTCTTTTTATTCATTAAGTTTATTGGTACATTTTAGGTATGCGATATGATGACATTCAGCATTGGGAATTTGTACCTTTACATGATATATCTTTTTTTTTTTTTTGGTATTGGAGATCAAACTTGGGACCTTGTGCTTATGAGGCAGGCAGCAGAACCCACTGAGCTAAATCCCTGGGCCTATGTGATATATCTTGATTCTTATTTTTTCCCCATTCCCCTGCCCTACCTTCAACCCCTCCACCCCGCTATTTATAAAGACTTTGTTTCTGGTTTTTCCTTTTCTCATATTTATTCCTTTCCCCTACCCCTCCCACTTTCCCTTCTCCTTTGGACCTTTTCTTCCTATTTCACATGATCTATTATACAATTTGATCCTTATTTACATTTTTAGTTTCTCACACCAGAGAAACTTCGGTATTTACACGTGTCCTATTTATTTCACTTAAGAGTATGGCTTCAATGTGCATCCATTTAGCTCTAAATGTCTCTGGGCCGGGGATTTAGCTCAGTGGTTTCGCAACTTGCTGTGCAAGCGCAAAGACCGGAGTTCCATCCCCGGTACCAAAAAAAAAAGATAGTTAATTTTTCATTAAGCCAATGCTTTTGGGCTGGGGATTTAGCTCAGTGGTTCTGTCGCCTGCCTTGAAAGCGCAAGGACCCGAGTTCGATCCCTAGTGCCAAAAAAAAAAATATATATATATATATATAAATGTCTCTAGTTTCTCATTCTTTATGGCTGAGTAGTACTCCATTTTATAAAAAAACACATCTTCATCCAGTTTCCAGTTGATGGGCAAGTGGGCTGTTTCCAAGTTTTAGCTATTACAAACTGTGCCACTATAAACATGGGTGTGCATATATCACTGCAGTATGATTCTTTTAGTTCTTTGGGGAAGATACCCAGCAGGGGAATAGCTGGGTCAATTGGAACCTCTAGTTCTAGTTCTTTGAGTTATCTCCATACTGATTTCCACAGTGGTTGCACCAGTCTGCACTCCCACCGACAATGGAGAAGGGTCCCTTAAAAAACCACATTTTCTTTTTTTTTTTTTGGTACCGGGGATCGAACTCAGGTCCTTGCGCTTGCGCAGCAGGCGGCAAAACCACTGAGCTAAATCCCCGGCCCAAAACCACATTTTCTTTATCCAGTCACCAGTTGATGGGCAACTGGGCTGTGGGAAAAAATTTTTACCAGCTGTTCCTCAGACAAAAGTCTACTATCTAGAATATATAAAGAACTCAAAATCAGACCTCCCAAATTTAAAGACTCAATCCAAAAATGGACATCTGAAATGAACAGACATTTCTCAAAGAAGTAGAAATAGCAAATAAACATATGAAAAGATGAGACACAGATAAAAACACTGAAATTCCACCTCACTCCAGAAAGAATGACTGCTATCAAGAAATCAACCAATACGGCTAGGGATTTAGTTCAGTAGTTTCGCCGCCTGCTGGGCAAGCGCAAGGACCCCCTCTACCAAAAAAAAAAAAAAAAAAGAAATCAACCAATAACAAATCCTGGTGGGGTTGTGGGGAAAAAGGAACCCTTCTCCACTGTTGTTGGGATTGTAGACTGGTGCAACTACGGTAGAAATCAGTATGGAGAGACCTCAAAAAACTAGGATTAGAGGTTCCATTTGACCCAGCTATTCCCCTGCTGGGTATCTTCTCAAAAGAATTGAGGAAGGCCCAGGGATTTAGCTCAGTGGTTTCACCACCTGCTGCACAAGTGCAAGGACACACGTTCAATCCCCAGTACCAAAAAAAAAAAAAAAAAAAACTAAGGGAATCATACTACAGTGATATATGTGCACCCATGTTTATAGCGGCACAGTCTGTAATATAGGCCATACTCTTAAGTGAAATAAATAGGACACACATGTGTAAATACCAAATAGTTTCTTAGTGTGAGAAATTGAAAGTATAAATCAGGACCAAAATGTATAACAGATAGGGCCGGGGATTTAGCTCAGTGGTTCTGCTGCCTGCCTTGCAAGCGCAAGGACCCGAATTTGATCCCTGCTACCAAAAATAAATAAATAAATAAATAAATAAATAAATAAATAAATTTTTAGAGGCTGGGGACTTAGCTCAGTGGTTTCATCACCTGCTGCGCAAGCGCAAGGACCAGAGTTTGATCTCCGGTACCAAAAAAAAGAAAAAAAAGGTTTCCAAAATGTATAATAGATATTGTGAAATAGGAAGAAAATGTTCAAAGAGTAAGGGGAACTAGGGAGGGGGGATGGGGAAAAGAAAGAAGGGAAAGAAAAAAAGGAAAAAAGGAAAAAAACGGAAACAAAAGCTTATGTAAATAGAGAGGGGTGGAGGGGCTGAAGGGAGGGAAGCGGAATGGGGAAAAAATAAGAACCAAGATATATCACAGGTACAAATTCCCCATGATGAATGTGATCACAATGTATACCTAAAATGTGCCAATAAACTAAAGAAAGAAAAGAAAAGTAAAGCAAGCAAGCAAGCTGGGTAAATCCCTCTGCAGTGCCAGCCCCGTGTGTGTGTGAGTGTGTGTGTGTGTACCAGGCCTGATCATATCACTGTGTCTGACTTAAAAAAAATTGTAGTGGTGTATATGTGTATGTGTACATGTGTGTGTGTTTTATAGTGGTAATGGAGTTTAAACATGGCCTTACAGTGAGCTACATCCCCAGCCCTTTTCTTTCAGTTGTTTTAGTTTATTTTGTTTTTAGCTTGAAACAGGGTCTTCCTAAATCGCCAGGCTGGGCTTGAATTTATGATCCTCCTGCCTCAGCCTTCCAAGCTGCTGGGATTACAAGCATAAGCCACTATGCCCAGCCTCCCTTTATTTATTTATTTATTTTTTAAACTGTTTTGGTCTTGCTATGTTCCCCAGGCTGGCCTTGAACTCCTGGACTCAAGCAATCCTTCTGCCTCAGCCTCCTGAGTAGCTAAAACTGTAGGTATGTGCCACAAAGCCTCACCAAACTAACCAATGGCTTTTTTTTTTTTTTTTGAGACAGGGTCTCACTCTGTAGCACAGGCTAGCCTCAAACTCAGTGTGTAGCTGGGTTGGCCTTGAACTCAGCCTAAGTGCTGGGATTATAGGCATGCAACCACCACACCTGGCATACCAATTGCTTTTAAAAACTAAAAGGTAAAGGCTTCCCCAGCCACCAGCTGTACTTAAATTCTCAGAGCCTGCTTTTCCTATCTATAAAAGAGAACCATTCAACTATGGGATTTCCCAGGGCCAGTGCTTTAAATTCAAGCAGCCTGGGGCAGGGGATTTAGCTCAGTTGTTTCACCACCTGCTGCGCAAGTGCAAGGACCGGAGTTCGATCCCCGGTACCAAAAAAAAAATTTTTTTCTAAATTCAAGCAGCCTGGCTCTGGAGCCTAGGTGTGAATCTCACTTCACTTTCAGCAGCCAGATGACCAGAGGAGAGTACCATCCAGCCTTATTCAGGGCCCTTGACCATCTTCAAGAGCTCCTTTAGGAAATAAGCTCTCCCAATCCATAGCAGAGAAGTACTGGGAAAGCTGGGAGCTAAGTCTTAGACGGCAAGCTCAAGATCAAGATGAGTGGGCTTCATTCTGGTGGGGGTCCCAGTCAGGGTAGGTCTGCAACTTACTGCTGAACCGGACAGGCTGTGCCACATTCACCGCGTGGAAGTGTGTAGGGTCGCCTCCTCTGACTCGCCCCTGCCGTAGGTCCACAGACTCCTTCCCATGGTAAGGCCGAGACTCCCCAGTTACTTCTGAAAGCAAAAGGAGAAGAGTATTGTGAGCCTGACCAGTGCAGTAGTGACAAAGCAGCCATGGGACTTCTCCAGCCATTGCCAAGCTGAATGTCAGCATGAGTCACACTACTCAGGGTAGAAGGGTCGGGTCACACACAGGACATGGCAACAGAGTCCACTTATACCCTAGAATTTTACCTTAGAACTCTAGAATGAACATTGCCATATATTTCAAATGGGTCACATATGCCTGTTAGAATTACACCTTGGAGGGCCAGGGATTTAGCTCAGTGGTTTCAACGCCTGCTACGCAAGCGCAAGGACCCGAGTTCGATCCCCGGTACCAAAAAAAAAGAATTACACCTTGGCAGTCTTCACTACTGTACTGCTATTATGAAAAGAGGCCTTCACTGCATTTTCTAATGAGTACTGCTAGCATTACAAAGTCAGTCCTTCCTTCTTAAAATCCTTCTGCAGAGCCAGCCCCACAGGGATCCTAGCCAAGGAGGCTCTTTCCGGATTCCAGGCTGCCTTTCCACTCATCCTCACTGGTCTGGGAGTTCCCATGTTAGGGTGAAGGGGAGACCAGCGTGTACACTGGTTCCCCTCATCACCTGTCACTGGAAGTGAGCTGCCTATCTGTCCATCTTTAGCCAGCCTTGAGCTGGTCCATCAAGGGTATTAAGAGTCTCCAAGCCAGGACTTAGGATGCTTGCATCTGGCTCCCTGATGTCTGGCACAGGCCATAGGTTGCAGCAGGCCCCACTGCATGGTCAGAAGGTGTAGACAGGAAGCTGAGCAAGGGGGAAGCATTCCAGTTTTATGTAGCACAATCTAATAATTCACAAGTTGGTCCTTCCACACACTTTCTTGGAGCCCTCCAATCCCCTTGTAATTGCCAAGAACCATTCTCCTCTCATGTCGCAGGGTGAAGAGCAGACTCAGAGAAGTAAAGTGATTTTCCCAAGGGCACAGAGCAGAAAGTCAGAGGCAACGTCTCTCCTGGACCCACCCACCTCCCATCCCACCTGCACAGATGTACCCTGATGCAGGATGAAGGGCACCTGGGGCAAAGTCAGGTCACATGGGCAACAAACATAGTCTGCATGGCTGCACACAGTCAAAAAGACAAGCTACTTGCCAGCAGGCACACTCTAGCTGCAGACAGCTTCTCTTGGGCCAGCTGTATAGAAGTGGAAAGGGTTGATCTCTTGCAAACCTACCTGTCCTGACTTCAGAGCTGGCAATCAGCCCACTTGGCAAAATTTCTTCCCATTGGGTTCTGCTAGGAGCACAGACACTAATACTGTTTTTAATTTAATAATCTTCTTTCCTTCATTATAAAATAACAAATGTAAAATATTTGAATACTATTAAAGTTAGAAAAGATAAAATGCATAAACTGTTACATTAGGGCCCATTCCTCTAGCCTCTTTTTTTCTTACACAAATTCTTAGAAATATTGGGATCAGGACTGAGTTGAGCTCAGTAGCAGAGCACTTGCCTGGCATGCTCGAGTCCCTGGGTTCCATTCCCAGGACTCCCCCCAAAGGAAAAAAAAAAAAGGAAAAGGAATCACACCAAACATTGTTTTGTTTTGGTTGGTTTTGCAGTACTGAGATGAAACCCAGGGTCTTGCACATACTAGGCAAGCACTCTACCTCTGAGCTACATCATCAACCTCACACAATTTTTTTTTCTTTCTGGTACCGGGGATCGAACTCAGGACCTTGCACTTGCCAGGCAGGCAAGATGCCACTGAGATAAACCCCTGGGCCCTCACACACACTATTTTAAGACTTGCTTTTTAAACTTACAACTATAAACAGCTTCCACATTCCTAAACAGGCTTAAGGACACTGCTTTTCATGGCTGCGCCTACTCCATCAATACAGTACTTACCACTGTATTTTGTGCACTGTTTTACAAAAAGCTTCATAGGGTGCATTGAACAATGTGTACAAAAATCACCATGTATTCCTGTTTTCCCTTGGAGACCCTGTACAAGTCACAGAAGTTTTGTTTCCTTTGCTAGCTAAATATTCATTTTGCAAGAGCAGTTCTATGGCTCCTCTATGCATGTGATCAGGTTTAGCTATTGATTATTGTTGGGTTTTGGGGGAGGGGCTACCAGGAATCAAACTCAGGGCCTTGTGATTGTCAGGCAGGTGCTGTGCCACTGAGTTACATCCCTGGCCCTTGTTTACTGATTAGAAATCACTGTAAAATACACAATGTGCTACCAGTGTCCGAGATAATTTTAGTACAAAGTGAAGATCTCAAAGGAGAACGCATCTTCAAGCCCTAGGTAAAGGGCAAAGGTAGGCATGTGTGAGACAACCTTGGGATCAAACATAAGTGGAAGCCTGGGGATTTAGCTCAGTGGCGCCTCAGTGGCGACGCCGCACCTGCCACCGCGCCTGCCTGCACAAGGTTCTGAGTTCAATTCCTGGAACGAGACAGGTGGGGGGGAGTTTTGACAAGCATTAAGTGTGGCTGAAACATACTTCACTGCACTTAAATTTCACAGCTCCTTTCTGTCTCTTCAAACAAGCAAGACCTGTGATTCCTTTGTATCCAACTATACCCAGTACCAGGTAAACTGCTCAGAAAAAGAACTGAGGGAGGGAGGGGAAGGAAAAGGTCAGAGATTGCTGTTCAGTCCTGTAATACTGAAGATCGGTTGTGTGGATGTAGACTCAGTGAAACCATCTGTAGCCTGGAGGTGAAGATGGAGTGAAATATTTAAGATAAGTAACCAGAAAGCCAAATGGTGACAAAGGAAACTCTTTGTGCTGAGCAGGCTTCTCTGAGGTTCAGGGAGCATATTGAGAGCCTCTCTTTTCACACCCAAATACTCATATTCACCTCACTCACTTGGTTTTTTGGTACCGGGGATTGAACTCGGGACCTTGAGCTTTCGAGGCAGGTGGTGGAACCACTGAGCTAAATCCCCGGCCCTACTCACTTGGTTTTATAAAAACCCCACCAAGGAAACCCACCAGCTCTTGACACAGGTCTTTGCCTGCAAGAAGGTGGTCATGCTGCTGACGGTTAAATAAAGGACTCACCCTTCCTGGGGAAAGCCGGGGAATGGGTAGAGGACAAGATTAGCAATCTTCCAGGCCTCTTAGGTCCGCCTGTGACAACACTTCCCTCTTCCCTAAGAGCCAGCTCACAGGTGTGCAGCTGGACACCAAACCTGGTTTTCACTGATTAGCTGACTTGCATGAGGCCGGCCCTAGAGCACTGGCCTCAGGACAAATACCCCAAAGCAACTCTCCTCTTCCTTTTCCCTCTAATTGCCTGGTACTGTCTGAGGCACAGGAAGTGCACTAGTGAACAAAGAGCAGATAAACCTGTGCCCTGTGTCATGCCTCTTTGACTCTCCTTCTCTTCCAGTCAGCAACTGGACAGGGTGCCTGTGACTGGGGTGGGATGGATTCCTATTCATAGCTCAACCTCAAGGCTGCCCCTGACATCCTGAAAAGAAACAGCAGGACTGGCTCCTGAGGTCCCATGGGAAGAGTATTCTGATGCTTTCAAAAATAGCTTTTCTCTCTTTACATGTCCTCATCAAGACTATAGAGCAGCCAGGGTACCAAAGATGGAAAGGGGGTCTGCAGAGGGACACCTGAAGCAACACATGGCTGACCTGGTACCGAAAATGTGAAGGGGCGTGCCTCACAGGCAGAAGGAGCAAGCTTAGTGGTGTCAGGATCCACGCTCCAGAGTAGGTGTGGGGCTTAAGACCAGCAGGCTCAAGGGCCTGGGCCTCCCCGCCTAACAGCCTGGACTGACCTGGTCCTAGCCCAGTCCATCTTTGGCCCCTGTGACTTCCCCACCCACCTCCAGCACCACTGGAAGCCCCAAAAAGCTGGGCTGCCTCTTTCCCCAATAGAGAACCTTAGAGTGGGAACCAGGGTGCCACCTCAAGTCCAGCTAGAAAACCGAGGCAGTACAGTTTGTGGCATGTCATTTCCAAATGACATACAGCAAGAAAGGAAGATTATTGCAAATGAGAGACAAAATGTGAATGATTCTAGTTTGTGTTGCTAAAACTTAAAAACCTGTCCACATAGGATCCAGAAGACCATATCATCTCCCCAAATACAAAGAGGGGGCAAGATAAGCCTCTAGCACTCCAAGTTGTCAGAATGACTTTCCTCTACTTACATCAAAGCAAGTCTGGAATTGTGTAAAAAAATCAAATGTTAAGTCAAACAATACTTGGTTACCAAAACAGAATTTCTAAAATCAAAAAGGCAGAAAACATAAAATTCCTAGTGATATTGTTATGACATCATTTAAGTTCTACAAAGTGATTCTTGTCCTGTTCAACCAAGACCAAGGCTGCCTTACTTGGGGAGACCTGCCAGAGGGCATGTCCCAGTGGCGGCCACCTGTCTCTGTGCTACCAGAAATTTGAAGCTATGCTTTAAAAAAAAAGTCACTATGAGCACTTCTGTTTTCTATTTTATACCCATATGGATGATACATAACCCAACAGAAAACAACTGCAAAAGCACAACCTTTTGAGTTCTAAGTCCAAATCCACATCCCTGCAGCTGTTCCTGGGTTCATGAAGAGACTATCTGTGGCACAAGGGAGAGAGTGCCTTACCTGCTGCTATAGGCCAATGGCGGGGGCAATTTTTTTTTCTGGTACCAGGGATCTAACTCAGGACCTTGAGCTTGTGAAGCAGGCCCAGGGGCATATATTATACACAGTAACAAACTTTTTTTGTTTTAGGAGGTACTGGGGATCAAACCCAGGGTCTCCTCCAAGTTATATAAACACCCTTTTTCTAAGCTACACCTCATCCTGTAACATGCTTTTTTATGTGGTAGAATGAGCAAAGAAAAAGAAATTTAAATATATAAATATATATACGGGGCTGGGGATTTAGCTCAGTGGTTCCGGCACCTGCCTCCCAAGGTCCCAAGTTCAATCCCCGGGACCAAAAAAAAAACCAAACAAACAAACTTCTAGCTTATCCCTATGTATACATATATTCA